CACTCCATCCTACCCGTGGGTGGACTAATCTCCATCTGTGCCATCTCACTGCCTTCTACACCGTGTGTGTAGACTAATCTCCATCTGTTCCATCTCACTCCCTTCTATCCCGTGTGTGGACTAATCTCCATCTGTTCCATCTCACTCCATTCTACCCGTCGGTGGACTAATCTCCATCTGTTCCATCTCACTCCCTTCTACACAGTGTGTGTGGACTAATCTCCATCTGTCCAATCTCACTCCCTTCTACCCGTGGTGGACTAATTTACATCTGTTCCATCTCACTCCCTTAGACCCGTGGGTGGACTAATATCCATCTGTTCCACCTCACTCGCTTCTACCCCGTGTGTGGACTAATCTCCATCTGTTCCATCTCACTCCCTTCTACCCGTGTGTGGACTAATCTCCATTAATTCCGTCTCAATCCCTTCTACCCCGTGTGGGACAAATCTCCATCTGTTCCATCTCACTCCCTTCTACCCCGTGTGTGAACTAATCTCCATCTGTTCCATCTCACTCCCTTCTACACCATGTGTGTGGACTAATCTCCATCTGTTCAATCTCACTCCCTTCTGCCCGTGTGTGGACTAATCTCCATCTGTTCCATCTCACTCCCTTATACACCGTGTGTGGACTAATCTCCATCTGTTCCATCTCACTCCCTTCTACCCGTGGTGGACTAATCTCCATCTGTTCCATTTCACTCCCTTCTACCCCGTGTGTCGACTAATCTCCATATGTTCAACCTCACTCCCTTCTACCCGTGTGTGGACTAATCTCCATCTGTTCCATCTCAATCCTTACTAGCCGTGTGTGGACTAATCTCCATTTGTTCCATCTCACTCCCTTCTATACAGTGTGGGGACTAATCTCCATCTGTTCAATCTCACTCCCTACTTACCGTTTGTGGACTAATCTCCATCTGTTCAATCTCACTCCCTTATACCCCGTGTGTGGACTAATCTCCATCTGTTCCATCTCCCTCCCTTCTACCCGTGGGTGGACTAATCTCCATCTGTTCCATCTCACTCCCTCCTACCCGTGGGTGGACTAATCTCCATCTGTTCCATCTCACTGCCTTCTACACCGTGTGTGTGGACTAATCTCCATCTGTTCCATCTCAATCCCTTCGACCCGTGTGTGGTCTAATTTCCTTCTGTTCCATCTCATTCCCTTCTACCCATGGGTGGACTAATCTCCATCTGTTCCATCTCACTCCATTCTACCCGTGTGTGGATTAATCTGCATCTGTTCCATCTCACTCCCTTCTACCCGTGTGTGGACTAATCTCCATCGGTTCCATCTCACTCGCTTCTGCACCGTGTGTGTGGACTAATCTCCATCTGTTCCATCTCACTCCCTTCTGCACCATGTGTGTGGACTAATCTCCATCTGTTCCATCTCACTCCCTTCTACACCGTGTGTGTGGACTAATCTCCATATGTCCAGTCTCACTCCTTTCTACCCGTGGTGGACTAATTTCCATTTGTTCCATCTCACTCCCTTAGACCCGTGGGTGGACAAATATCCATCTATTCCATCTCACTACCTTCTACCCGTGTGTGGACTAATCTCCATTTATTCCGTCTCACTCCCTTCTACCCCGTGTGTGGACAAATCTCCATCTGTTCCATCTCACTCCCTTTTACCCCGTGTGTGGACTAATCTCCATCTGTTCAATCTCACTCCCTTCTGCCCGTGTGTGGACTAATCTCCATCTGTTCCATCTCACTCCCTTATACACCGTGTGTGGACTAATCTCCATCTGTTCCATCTCACTCCCTTCTACCCGTGGTGGACTAATCTCCATCTGTTCCATTTCACTCCCTTCTACCCCGTGTGTCGACTAATCTCCATATGTTCAACCTCACTCCCTTCTACCCGTGTGTGGACTAATCTCCATCTGTTCCATCTCAATCCTTACTAGCCGTGTGTGGACTAATCTCCATTTGTTCCATCTCACTCCCTTCTATACAGTGTGGGGACTAATCTCCATCTGTTCAATCTCACTCCCTACTTACCGTTTGTGGACTAATCTCCATCTGTTCAATCTCACTCCCTTATACCCCGTGTGTGGACTAATCTCCATCTGTTCCATCTCCCTCCCTTCTACCCGTGGGTGGACTAATCTCCATCTGTTCCATCTCACTCCCTCCTACCCGTGGGTGGACTAATCTCCATCTGTTCCATCTCACTGCCTTCTACACCGTGTGTGTGGACTAATCTCCATCTGTTCCATCTCACTCCCTTCTACCCGTGGGTGGACTAATCTCCATCTGTTCCATCTCACTCCCTTCTACACCGTGTGTGGACTAATATCCATCTGGTCCATCTCACTCCCTTCTATACCGTGTGTAGACTAATCTCCATCTGTTTCATCTCCCTCCCTTCTACACGTGGGGGAGTAATCTCCATCTCTTCCATCTCACTCCCTCCTACCCGTGGGTGGACTAATCTCCATCTGTTCCATCTCACTCCCTCCTACCCATGGGTGGACTAATCTCCATCTGTTCCATCTCACTCCCTTCTACACCGTGTGTGTAGACCAATCTCCATCTGTTCCATCTCACTCCCTACTACCCCTGTGTGGACTAATCTCCATCTGTCTAATCTCACTCCCTTCTACACGTGATGGAGTAATCTCCATCTGTTCCATCTCACTCCCTTCTACCCGTGGGTGGACTAATTTCCATCTGTTCCATCTCACTCCCTTCGAACCGTGTGTGGACTAATCTCCATCTGTTCCATCTCAATCCCCTCGACCCGTGTGTGGACTAATTTACTTCTGTTCCATCTCATTCCCTTCTATCCATGGGTGGACTAATCTCCATCTGTTCCATCTCACTCCCTTCTACCCGTGTGTGGACTAATCTGCATCTGTTCCATCTCACTCCCTTCTACCCGTGTGTGGACTAATCTCCATCGGTTCCATCTCACTCGCTTCTGCACCGTGTGTGTGGACTAATCTCCATCTGTTCCATCTCACTCCCTTCTGCACCGTGTATGTGGACTAATCTCCATCTGTTCCACCTCATTCGCTTCTACCCCGTGTGTGGACTAATCTACATCTGTCCAATCTCACTCCCTTCTACCCGTGGTGGACTAATTTCCATCTGTTCCATCTCACTCCCTTAGACTCGTGGGTGGACTAATATCCATCTGTTCCACCTCACTCGCTTCTACCCCGTGTGTGGACTAATCTCCATCTGTCCAATCTCACTCCCTTCTACCCGTAGTGGACTAATTTCCATCTGTTCCATCTCACTCCCTTAGACCTGTGGGTGGACTAATCTCCATCTGTCCAATCTCACTCCCTTCTACCCGTGGTGGACTTATTTCAATTTGTTCCATCTCACTCCCTTCTAAACCGTGTGTGTGGCCAAATCTCCATCCGTTCCATCTCACTCTCTTCTACACCGTGTGTGGACTAATCTCCCACCCCTCCCCTCTCACCCCCTCCCACCCCTCCCCTCCCACCCCCTCCCACCCGTCCCCTGTCACCTCGCCTGACTCCCAGGGTCTCGCTTCGTGGGAGTCAGACTCGCAGGCAAAGGTCCCCGTTGCGTAACGCTTAGAGGGTGGGTGGTGGGCGTGGTGGTACCCCCCTCGCTAAGCCCCACTCCACCCTGCTCAGTGACCCCCCCCTGACCCCACCCCGCCATGTGGGGATAAGGCGCGGGGTGAAGGATGTCTCCGATTGTTTTACCATACTTCCCCCCACTCCCTCCCCCCGAATGAGGACCGGGCCGACACGTGCCACCTGATGCACAATGTGGCGCCGTTCACAAACCATCGCCGCCACCGCCATCGCCGCTGCCTTCGCTCCTTTAAAGAAGCTCTGCTCCCGAAACGGACAACGGAGCGGGTAGCAACAATTCTACGCTGACATCTTTCACCCGCCGCCGTCAGTCCGTACGAAGCGCGAACGCGATGCATTGTGGGACTTCCCTTGCCAGCATCAGAATCTGAGAATGGGTCACGCGCCAATCCTTACTCGAATGCAATGGTCGGTGGCCTACATATTGCACGTACGTCGGACTTCTTTCACACCACCGGTGCTTAGCGGTGATCAGAGCCGGTCCTGGGGCCTCCCCTAGGTAGACTCAGCCTCAAATGAGTTATCTGGTGTCGCGGTGTGCAGTAAACATCGCCACCGGGGAGACAAAGGCGGCCGGGCGTGGTGCTGGCCATCGAACCATTTGAGTGACGCAGTGCCGGCTCTCATACAGTAGTTGCTGCTCGCTAACAGCACTTGCCCCAACAGTCTGTTGAGGGCTAGACGGGGGATATTTGTCTTTTAACTTCTTAGGCAGCGTACTTAGCCAACCGCACTCATCCAGGATGCGGGAAGACAACAAACTACAGACGACAATAGCAAGGAGCTCTAAAGAAATGAGTTTGTCGCTCTAGATGATGATTTGAAAGTGCATATCTGCAGTGACTTCCGAATATCGGGAGAGCAGTCTACAGAGACCCATGGACTAACACGGAGATCTGTAGACTCACCACACAGAGACCCACGGACTCACATAGAGACCCATAACCTCACACACAGAAACCCATAGACACATCAGACAGAGACCCATAGATTCACCACACAGAGACCCACAGACTCATACAGACACCCAACGACTCATCACACAGAGACGCATAGACTAACACAGACGGCTACCGGTTCATGACATTCGCAACCGGTAATCCATCTTTGTAAATCGGTTACCGAATAGGCTCCCACCCAACCCCCCACCATCCAGTACCCCTCGAACCCAAGTCAGAATGGGAATCAGAATTTATAGTGTGCAGTGTGGACTCACTGAGTGCAGTGTGGACTCACTGAGTGCAGTGTGATCTCACTGAGTGGAGCGTGGACTCACTGAGTGCAGCGTGGACTCACTGAGTGCAGTGTGATCTCACTGAGTGCAGTGTGGACTCACTGAGTGCAGTGTGGACTCACTGAGTGGAGCGTGAACTCACTGGGTCTGTGTGCAGCGTGAACTCACCCAGTTGAGCAGAGACCCCGGCTTGCGTGGAGTGCACGGTGAAGGGTCGACCGGGCAGCAGCACGGGGAAGCCCTCGGTAGGGCAGCCTCAACAGGGGTGGCCTCAGCAGGGGCAGCATTGCGGGGCAGCAATCCGGGCTCACGGCTCTGGCACGATCTCCGAGTCTCGAATTCGAGTCTCTCTGAGTCTGAGTTTCTGAGTTTCTCTCCCGTCCAATCTACGTTCCTTCAGGGGCCGTGCGATCTCAGTGCGCGCGTAGAGGCGGAGAGAGAGTGAATGAGGCAGGGAGAGTGAGACACGGAGAGAGAGTGAATGAGGCAGGGAGAGTGAGACACAGAGAGAGAGGGAAGGAGGCAGGGAGAGTGAGAGAAAGTGAGACACAGAGAGAGAGTGAAGAAGGCAGGGAGAGTGAGAGAAAGTGAGACAGAGAGAGAGTGAATGAGGCAGGGAGAGTGAGAGAAAGTGAGAGACAGAAAGAGTGAATGAGGCAGGGAGAGTGAGAGAAAGTGAGAGACAGAGAGAGTGAATGAGGCAGGGAGAGTGAGAGAAAGTGAGAGACAGAGAGAGTGAATGAGGCAGGGAGAGTGAGAGAAAGTGAGAGACAGAGAGAGTGAATGAGGCAGGGAGAGTGAGAGAAAGTGAGAGACAGAGAGAGTGAATGAGGCAGGGAGAGTGAGAGAAAGTGAGAGACAGAGAGAGTGAATGAGGCAGGGAGAGTGAGAGAAAGTGAGAGACAGAGAGAGTGAATGAGGCAGGGAGAGTGAGAGAAAGTGAGACACAGAGAGAATGTGACGGTGGGGGTGAGGGTGGGGGTGGGGTGGCTGTGTGAGGCGGGGCAGTTTCAACTGCGGTGGCGTGGGGCCAAAACTCGGGGTGAGCCTGAGTCTCTCTCTGAGTCTGAGTCTCTCGATGAGTCTCTCCGAGTCTCTCTCTGAGTCTCTCTCTTAGTCTCTCTGAGTCTGAGTCTTTCTGAGTCTGAGTCTCTCTCCGAGTCTCTCTCTATGAGTCTCTCTGAGTCTCTCTAAATCTGAGTCTCTCTCTGAGTCTGAGTCTCTCTCTGAGTCTCTCTGAGTCTTTCTGAGTCTGAGTCTCTTTCCGAGTCTCCCTCTATGAGTCTCTCTGAGTCTCTCTAAATCTGAGTCTCTCTCTGAGTCTGAGTCTCTCTCTGAGTCTCTCTCTCTGAGTCTCTCTGAGTCTGAGTCTTTCTCTGAGTCTCTCTCTGAGTCTAAATCTGAGTCTCTCTGAGTCTGAGTCTCTCGATGAGTCTCTCTGAGTCTCTCTCTGAGTCTCTCTCTTAGTCTCTCTGAGTCTGAGTCTTTTTGAGTCTCTCTGAGTCTGAGTCTCTTTGAGTCTGAGTCTCTCTATGAGTTTCTCTATGAGTCTCTCTGAGTCTGAGTCTCTCTGAGTCTCTCTCTATGTCCGATGCTCTCTCTGAGTCTGAAATTAGAGACTCGGAGAGATTCATAGAGACTCGAAGTCTCTAATCTCAATCTATGTCTGAGTGTTGAGTCGCTCCTGTGTCTCTGATTCAGGGTCTGAGTCTCTGTTCGGGTGATATTTTTGTTGAATTGCATAATTTGTGTACTCTTTGGTTCTTTCGGTAAAGTCACGTAGGTATCAAATAAATCACGACGTGTCGATTGCAACACAAGTGTAGTGTTGTAAGGACGAGCAGACTTCTTTAGGAGGCACACTGTTTATTGTATTATTTCCTTATGCAACGCTTAACACACACAGGGGGATATTCGGTCCCCTCACCCGACACCCTAGGGAGGTACAGCCTCCGTACCTGGCGGGACTCACACGTCTACCGCTAACCTCCTTGATACTTAAGGAGGTACAACCTCCGGACTTGGCGGGACTCACACGTCTACCGCTATCCTAGTCCTCCGGCTAGGACTTAGGGGAGGCTATCTGACCCACCGCTGGCCCGGTGGGTCCTGACCACTGGGTATGCCGAGCCTTAGCCCTTAGAAGGGCTGAAAGGCTGGTCCAGGGTCCTAGCTAGGCTTCAGCCCAGTCTTCTGTCTTCGTGCAGGGAGCGAACTCCACGAGGTCCGTTGGGTCACCCGTCTTATACCCCTTCGTGGCCAGGTAGAACCAACCATACATTCCCACGTGGAACCGTCTGATTGGTTCGCACCAAACCCTGGCCACGATCCGTTTCACCTCGACTGACCCCAACCGTTGTACCCAGGGGTAATGCTGCACTGCCCTGGTGGCAACGCAGGTTACGCAACAGCGCGTAGTTAACACCTCTACATCACCCCCTCCTTCGGAAGCTCCAGCCGTCCCGGCTGCAACAATGGGAAACTCCGAAATTACCAATGGTAGAAGAATTGTGAGTGTGCCTCACGAACAACAAGAACAATTAAACCCCTATAAATACCCCCCTTAACAACATAACGTATGTACAAGGCACTAGACATGCCAAAAAAACATTATAACAACCGGCGAGATTTCGCGTGCGTGCGTTTCGCGGGACCATCGTAGGGGATGGCAGGCTTCGTCGGCGGCACAAGGGAAGGAGGAGGATGAGCCAGAGCATCCGGTGGGCCTTTATGCATCTCCACGGGGACACCTGCTGCTCCACGGTCCATTGAGGCCGAACGTGGCCTGCATGGAGCCGTCACTCCCGCGTCATCTGCAGGAGGAATGACACGCCTGCGCTGCGGGTTAGGCACCAACGGGGCAACATCCGGCTCGTCGGACGCGTCGCACACTCGGTCCCCAACGTTCCCAGGATGCCCTTGGCTTCCGCTTCCGGCGGAATCACGTGGTTCCCCGGCGGGAAAATCAAAATGTTTGCCCCGGCCGATGGTGGGAACGTCTGCCGGCGGTTGACTCGGCCTGCCCGCAACCTCCAAGTTGATCTCTTCGAGAATGGAGGCCGCGGCGTGTAGGAGTTGAGCGAGACGGCCGTGTGCTGCCCTGAGTCCGTCCCCCATGGCAGGGGGAGCAACCGGCTGCTCAACCGGTGGCTGGGCGGCCGTCAACGCGGCAGCGTTTTCAGCGGAGCTGGCGGTGCTTGCAGGTGAGACAGCGTTATCTTCGTTCTGGCTCCGCGCGTGGGCTGAACTTCTGGTTTCCATTTCCAACCACTTCTGACTCCAGTTGTAGTGTTGTAAGGACGAGCAGACTTCTTTAGGAGGCACACTGTTTATTGTATTATTTCCGTATGCAACGCTTAACACACACAGAGGGATATTCGGTCCCCTCACCCGACACCCTAGGGAGGTACAGCCTCCGTACCTGGCGGGACTCACACGTCTACCGCTAACCTCCTTGATACTTAAGGAGGTACAACCTCCGGACTTGGCGGGACTCACACGTCTACCGCTATCCTAGTCCTCCGGCTAGGACCTAGGGGAGGCTATCTGACCCACCGCTGGCCCGGTGGGTCCTGACCACTGGGTATGCCGAGCCTTAGCCCTTAGAAGGGCTGAAAGGCTGGTCCAGGGTCCTAGCTAGGCTTCAGCCCAGTCTTTTGTCTTCGTGCAGGGAGCGAACTCCACGAGGTCCGTTGGGTCACCCGTCTTATACCCCTTCGTGGCCAGTTAGAACCAATCATACATTCCCACGTGGAACCGTCTGATTGGTTCGCACAAAACCCTGGCCACGATCCGTTTCACCTCGACTGACCCCAACCGTTGTACCCAGGGGTAATGCTGCACCGCCCTGGTGGCAACGCAGGTTACGCAACAGCGCGTAGTTAACACCTCTACACAAGCAATCATCATCAGGTGGGAAAACCACAGCAAGTCATTTGTTTTGCTGAAGTGGGAGAGAAATGCCATAGTAAGAGGTTATATCGGTAAGAGAGGGGGGAGGGACAAAGGGGGAGAGAGAGGGGGGGGTTGCGTGGACGCTAGGAGAGGGACGTTGTGATTTTCCCACCTGATGATGATTGCTTGTGTTGCAATCGAAACGTCGAGATGTATTTATTTATTTTATACCCACGTGACTTTACCGAAAGAACCAAAGAGTATGGGTTCCTGCAGTCACAAAAGCTTCAACTCTGGATTGCATAATTAGTAACCCAATAAAAACGATATGAACGATTTAAATACTACAATATAAGGTCCAATGTAGTAGCTCTTTTTCAGAAGCGGCCTGGCTATCACAAATGATAGCCCAACTTAAGTGGCTTATCACGTGGAAATGTATAGCAGCAGCCGCATACTCTAAATGCACGTTATTTCTAAATGTGGAGAAGAATCCGCACGACCACGGGGAGAAAGAGACACGCAAACTCCAAATATACAGCAGCAGGTGTCAGGGTCGCGATCAAACTCACGACCTCCTGTATACCAGGAGAGGCAGTTAACATCTCATAGCCACCGCTGTGCCCCAAATAATGGCACAAAAAATGGTTGGGTGCCGCATGCATAGACGCAACGTAATTGGGTGTTCATCTGGCGAGTGATGAAACTTCAAATGTCCCCGCGACTGCTCACGAGTGAAAACAACATTAATGTTTCTAACCGGCGCAGATGTTCCATTAGAGGGAGGGTCCACGTTTCACAAGCGTAGCGAAGAGAGGTCAGAGCAACAGGCCAGGTAGCTTCCACACAGCAGCATTACACGGCCGGTGAAAAAGATAATGGTGCACGGCTGATTCGGAGTGAGTCCTCTACTGTCAAACCGGAGCCGGTCACGAGCACACACCGCCCCCTGGAATGGGAAACCTCTCCACCCTCTCCAACAGCCGCTCCGTCACCAATTGGGAGTTGAGGGTGGCGGAGTGGCCGACGGCACACAGAATGCCCAGGCCGGTGCTCCCCCGTTTTAATCGTTGCGTCGTCACTTCGGCAAAGGGGCCGTCCATAAATGACGTCACGTGATTTTGGACGATTTTTGACCCCCCCCCCCACCCCCTAGTCACACGGCGTCACAAAAAGTCAGACCCCCCCTCGAATATGACGTCACAAAACTCGGCCCCCCAAAATAAATAAATAAATAAAACATGCTTCAAATCGCTTTAAACTATTGTCATTGTAGTGCGTATTTAATGTTACGCTGCACTCTGATGTTGTAAGAGAAAACATTTATCAAAAAGTCTATTTTTATTAAGTAGAACGTGTTGTCTATAGTTAATGCATGCGAAATGTGGACCTCCTTGAAGGATCATCTGCGCCGATTTTGAAACAGTCGTCCTGGTTTTAAGCAGACTGGATTGTGTGATGAGCTCACAGATCCTTGAGAGATTTCGACAGTCCCCATCATCGGTGAGCTCTTGCGGCAGGTAAGGCTGCGTTGGCTGGGTCGTGTATCCCACGTGCCCAGCCACGGCATTCCCAAGCAGCTTCTGTTCGGCCGGATAGAGGGGGCTAAACGGGCGTGGCACGGGCTAGAGAAGAGATGGAGTGATGTGGT